GGCAAGTGCATGTGAATTTAAATTAACAATCCAGAAAATTGAAACAGTTTTGCTGCTGTTGCTGGATATTGGCTGTTCTTCACATGCCCTTACACTGACTATTCCCTCTTTGTCTGGGAGGGTTTTTATATTATTATTATTTTTATTATTATTATTTTTATTACGGCCTATTTTATGCCCATCATAGTGTACCATAAGAGATCCGTTTCAGCTGGCTGAATTTTCTCTATGGAGAAAAAGCTCAAAATTGAAGGAGTGATAAATCTGTATTAATTTGGTTTCTGAAAAAATATAATTGGTGCATTCATTATATCTACTTTAGGTATAATTCAAGTGGGCTGATTTTATGCATGTTTTTCATGCACTCTACCAAGAGTTTATTGCCTGATTCTAGAAAGCTCTTTTCTACTTTTGACTTATTACTATAACCCTCCCAGATTTCCTTTTTATAACAGGAAGATGATTTAGCGGCTGAAGCTTGTTAGAAGGGAATTTGGAATATACTTATTAAAAATTATGGCAGCCATTTTTTACAGTTGCTAACTAATGTACATATAATCAAAATAATTTGGAAAAATAATAATGTTCAGGTTTTTCTAGTTATGATTAATGCAAAAACACAGGAGAAAACAGAGTGATTAACCCAGGAAAGCAAAATGCGATTTTCCCCCTAACTATTATATAGCATGAGTATAAAACCTATTAACTGCATAGTTTGGTAATGGTCTGTAGGCAGAGTTTTGTGTCGTGAGCAGCAAAGGATATAGATAATTGCCAAGATCAGGGTGTATGTGAAGATGAAAGGAAGCTAAATTACATCTATACTATGCTGGATTTAAAACAGATTTAACATATAATAAGACTTTGAAAGTAGAAGGTATAAGTGAATCCAGCATTTTCTATAAGAACATTTTGCAAAGTAACACAAAATATCCTAGCTTAAAACGAATCTGAAAATGATATCACTAATTAAAAGGGGAATACACAACACTGACACAATTTTTGAAGTACACCATTATTTTAGTAATAATTATATTCCTGCAAAAGAATTAGGTAGGAATGAAATGTTCACATTTTTTCAGTCGCACACACCTATCGGATTAAGAGCCATATTAATTCTGATGGGTTCTCTAGTGACATATACAGTGCCAGATATACCATTAGGTAAAGTAGGATCATGCCTAAAGGTCCAAAGGCAAAAAAGAGAACATGTCTTGTATAGATACTGCCCACATCTGCTTTTGCATTATCAGTAAAAATTGTCATCTGATATAAGATTATTTAATCATTGTTGCAATATTCCAAGCCAGTTCAGGACCAAAAAAATATGGCGGCTCATTGTATATCGGGCATGGTGGGCTAGATTGATGTAATGCATGTTTTCAACTCTTTTAGAATCAAAAGAATCTGGTGCTGGAAGACTTCCCAATACTATATGCTGTGATCACAGCTCTGAACTAGGAGCAGGTAGTTATACAATGCTCAGCATATGTGATACTGACTGTGGGTTTTGCTCTGATTAATGGCAGAATTTGAAGTATTTCAGTTTAGGGACTCCACAGAGGGTCCCTTTAAGTAGAAAATGTTTCATTCTATCTTGAGGAGGGCACCCTGCACAGTGCCCACTGTTAGTGATAAGCAATTATGTTGTGATGATAACTGTGAGTTTTAAAACTTGAATTCCTTTGGGATATGAGAGGTGTGCTGAAGTAGATATATTTTCTGGCAAGGTGAGGAAGACGCCATACTTTGTTTCTCCAGTAAAGTTAGCATATTGTGCAAGTACGTTTATTTTACTACTGTATACTTGCATGCTGTTTGTTGAGTAATATTACAAACCTGGAAATGACTGGAATGTTATGGAGGCCTCTCTTGCACCTCCTGCCCAACTCTTCTTAAGGTGGAGACAGAGAGTGTAAGGGCATGGAGTGGCATGAGTGCCAGAATAGTTGGCTGGCAAAGTCTGTCCTTTAGGTGGATGAAGCTGGGAATTTCAGTCCTCAGGACAGGATTCTGAAGCAGCTTGACACCAGAGCAGGAGATGTTAGCAGAACTAGTATGCAGGCAATGGCAAAGAAAACCCCACAAAAGGATAAAGAAACTCAAACGCTTATAAGCGGTATATATTTATTGCGGACTTAACAATAAAACCATGTAATTTATTCAGTGCATATATCCCATATATCCCCTCCCCATTTCCCCCCACTCCCACCCAGTTGACCCTCCCACCCTGTACCAACCCCCCCAAGAGTCCCACCCAACTACCCTACCCTCTCCCTCCCAATACACTCCCAACTCTCTCCCCCCCCCCTATTAATCCCAGTCTCCCAGTCTCCCTTCCTGTGCAGATGTAGAAAGACCCTGCTATGATGTATGCTGAAATCCAATAAGAACCAAGGTATTTCCGGCTAGTGGTGTAGGGGCTACAAGGTGTATATCCTCTGCGGAGGCGAGCACTAGACAAAAGGGCAACAGATATGCCTCAAAAATAATACAACAGTTCCAGATAGAGTATCAATGCTCAAATCCTTCTAGTGTCCCCATCACCAACACTGGAGCTTTCCAAAAAGGACGTATAATCAGCAATTGACAGGTCAAGCCTTCATTCAGGTAGCTGATTGATTCTGTATATCAATAAGCCAAAGAATAAGTTCAGGCAGCACAACTTGCAAAAGTCTCACAGCGGGTCAGGAGAGCTGGCATGCACTCTGGCTTTTTAGCAGGGGATTGCACATGGAAGGAGGACATAATCCCTTCCATCTACATGTTTCGCCCCTCCCACTGACCTGGGCTTCTTCAGGGTGTAGCCCTTCCACGTGCAATCCTCTACTGAGAAAATGTTGGAAAAAAAATGTTTTTCTTTGTTTCTAGTATAACATTTTGCAAACAGGTAAATTTTCTCCTCCACTGATGTGCATTGATGAGGCTGAACTGATAGGCAGCACTAATATGCACTGATAGGCAGCACTGATGGGCACTGATGAGGTGGCATGGATAGGCAGCACTGATGGGTACCGATAGGCTTCACCGATGAGGTGGCAATGATGAAGCGGCACTGGTGGGCATTGATTAGGAGGCACTGATGCTACTGCACTGATATGCAACAATGATGGTCACTGATAGGCAGCACTGATGGGCACTAATAGGCGGCACTGATGAGCACTGATGGGCAACACTGATGGGTGGTGTTGACTGATGGCACTGATTGACAGCCTTGACTGGCAGAACTGACTAATGTCACTTACTGGCGGCACTGCTGGGCACTGATGGGCGGCACAGATGGGCACTGATGGGCTCAACTGCTTGGCAGCACTGATGGGTGGAACTGCTGAGGGGCACTGATGGGTGGCACTGCTGGGCACTGGTAGGAGTCACTGCTGGGCACTGGTGGGTGGCACTGCTGGGCGACACTGCAGGGCACTGATCATCATCAGAATGCCAATCTCCCCTGTGACAGCTGCCGGTTATCGCCAACTATATTTACTCCGTGATCTACTGTGTCATTGGACACAGCCGGTCACATGGTAATAGGCCGCTGTAATTGGCCTTTTACCTCATCACGTGGTCATCTGTGTCTGTGGGACACAACAATCACAGAGATCGTTGAGTGCACAACCCTGAGGGCACGCGGGAGGGCGCGTTATGGGAGGACGTCATATGACGCCCTCCAAGAACTGGGTAACCATGCTGTAGCCATCATTCGGCTGTAGCGTAGTTGTCAAGTGGTTAAATAGGCCACTGGGTGCCAAGTGCACATGCTAATTGGTATGCACGTGTGTGCTCACGAACATGTGCATGATGAACATGAGCATAAACTTGCACTGGTTATCTGGAAATCTAGCTTACTTTACAGCTACTATGACTATGTAAGCTGAACAGCTCATGGAATAGAAATGTTTGCCATAGATGTATCAATGATTTTTCCAGTTTTTTAATTTGATATACAGCTGGCCATATACTAACAGATACTGGAACAAATGTTTGTACAAACATGAATTGTTTGAACATTGTATGAAAATTCTTATTAATATGATCAACAACTTTTAACTTTTTTAACATTTGGGGTTTTTTTTAGAGTGAATGGACTTTCCCAAATGAAAACCATAATCACTGTTAGAAATTATTTAATTCAAGAAACAAAATTCTATTTTGCTCCTTCAAATGTTTTAATTACTGTGGTGAAAAATAAATGTTGATTTGGCCCCACTCATGATGGAAAATCGAATAAATGTTCTTAAAATAATCATTTTCAAACAAAAATTACTAGTTTATGACCAGCTTAAGTGTACAACTGGATCTGGCATTTTTTTCATCCAAATATTATATATCTTTGCATTTTCCCAATTCTGTCTACAAACATTTTTATTGAATTATTGGGACGCCTGCCTTTACACACTCATGAACTTTAGTAAGGTTCAGTATTGAGTTGGCTCACCGTTTACAGCTATAACAGCTTCAGCTCTTCTGGGAAGGCTGTCCACAAGTTTTAGGAGTGTATCTATGGGAATGTTTGACCATTCTTTCAGAAGCACATCTGTGATGTCAGATGAGAAGGCCTAGCTTGCAGATTCCTCTCTAATTCATCCCAATGGTGTTCTATCGGGTTGCGGTCAGGACTTTGTGCAGGCCAGTCAAGTTCTACTACCCCAAACTCACTCATCCATGTCTTTATGGACCTTGCTTTGTGCACTGGTGCACAGTCATGTAGGAACAGGAATGGGCCATCCAAAAATTGTTCCCACAAAGTTGGGAGTATGCAATTGTCCAAAATGTCTTGTTTTGCTGATGTCTTAAGAGTTCCCTTCACTGGAACTATGGAGCCAAGCCCAACCCCTTAAAAGCAATCCCATGCCATAACCCCCCCTCCACCAATTTTACACTTGGCACAATGTAGTCAGGCAAGTACCGTTCTCCTGGCAACTGCCAAACCCGGACATGCCCATCGGACTGCCAGACAGAGAAGTATGATTTGTCACTTCAGAGAACATGTCTCCACTGCTCTAGAGTCCAGTGGCGGCGTGCTTTACACTACTGCATCTGATGCTTTGCATTGCACTTGATGATGTAAGGCTTGGATGCAGCTGCTTGGCCATGGAAACCCATTCCATAAAGCTCTCTATGCACTGTTGTTGTGTCAATCTGAAGGCCCATGAAGTTTGGAGATCTTTAGCTATTGACTTTACAGACAGTTGGCGACTTCTGAGCACTGTGCACTTCAGTATGCGTTGACCCCGTTCTGTCATTTTACATAGCCTACCACTTTGTGGCTGAATTGCTGTTGTTCCCAGTTGCTTCCACTTTGTTATATTATCACTAACAGTAGACCGTGGAATATTTAGTAGCAAGGAAATTTTATTGGACTTATTGCACAGGTGGCAACCTATCACGGTACAAGGCTTGAATTCACTGAGCTCCTGAGCGTGACTCATTCTTTCACAGATGTTTTGTAGCAGCAGTCTGCATGTCTAGGTGCTTGATTTCATACACCTGTGGCCATGGAGGTGATTGGAACACCTGAATCCAATGATTTGGAGGGGTGTCCCAATACTTTTGGCAATATAGTGTATTTGCAAGCAGAAAGAGGATTAAAGTTTGACATTAGTAAAGCTAAAATTATAAACAATACAACATGGATCAAAGCTAAAAATAATTCAAAGTGAGATTGTTCACATGAATTAGAGTACTAGGGGTGGGTAGTGGATAGATAGGCACATAGATTGGGCATTAGTTAGAAAGTAGACCATGTGCCCCTTTTATCATGCAATTTGTCATAGATAGAGTGATGAAATATCTCCATAAACATTAATGAATCCATCTTGTTCTAAACCTTAGCAAATAGAAGTTGATTGTGAGTACTGTAAGACAATAAGCCACTAAAGCAAGCTGAATAAGATATGAAAAAGTTTTTCATGATTTAAGAAACTGAAGGTATAGGGGCAAAAAACAAATATATAGGAAGCGTTAGCATTAAGGGTTGAACTGTCAAATGGGCAGCTATAGTCATAACATAATGCAGCATTATGTTTATATTTAATGCGGCTTTAAACGGCACGAAAATATATGCACAAAGGATCCAGTGGAAGAACACTCATAAAACACATCTGAGAAACTTCAGGAAAATGCTGTTTCAAAGATAGAAAGCAATTTTGTTCATGTACATAAATTAATGAGCATGACATAAAGCTTTGCCTATGTCAGTTTCCCAGTGAGTCATGGGAACTGTTTTATCTGATAGGTGAAGTCTATTCAATTACTGGTAATGAGATTATATGGACCCTTTACCTCTAGGAGTGGTGAGGCAAAATTGTTCAGACATAATAGGGGGACATGAGGAAAGCGTTGTGTAAAAAAATGTCTATACTGTAGGTATTGGTCTATTTCTCCCTCCAGTATTTCTGTTTTTTGAGGGTATCAGAATTCATAAAAGAGGAACTTTCTTGGAGATCTAGCAAGGGAAATATGAAGTGTGGAACCACCAAGAAAGGATGGTTCTTTCTGTGGCCTGCTGGTGCAAAAGATAGATAACCTAGATATGATGTCAGAGGGGATATGGATAAAGCCAGATTGGATTTTTTATGGTACAGACACCAGAGGTGAGAAACTACATACTGATTGACCCAAAATCATTAAAATGCACTGATTGTCCAAAATAAACCTGAAAGATAATAAGGTACTATTTAAAAAGATAACCATGGGAGAGCACATGCGTGGGTGGCCAGAGCGGATGTCTCACTGACCGCTCCGCACATTCCTGGCACTTCAGGGGCAATCAGTGGCGGCTATAACCCACTCCTACTCCCAATACTTACTGATTGCTGAGAGTGTGGAGGCTCCTCTCATGCCCACCTCACCGGCCAGAAAGTCTACGGGTGGATCCCATGCTGCAACTAAAGGAGTGGTAAGGGGAGGCAAGATGGCATCCGGCACCAGGGCCTCCTCAGCTGCAGAGGGAGCACAGCAGTGGCCACAGGAGACCAAGTCCTCTTCATCCAGCCCTGGGACTCAAGGTCACGGCTCCCTCAGCTCCTTGGCTCATGTGCGTGACCTCCCTGCACCTTCTGGCTCCCTCCCTAGCCCTGCCGGGCCCCCCTCACAGGCCGCAACCCTATCACCAGGCCATGATTCTCAAGCTTCTTCCATGCTGGATAGAGAAATGGTGGATATCTTCATTAGCCGAATCAGTAGCCAAGATTCAGCACATGATAGTCCAGCGAACTCTCCTGCTTTTCCACCTGCACCCCCACACTATTCAGGGGATTCCATACTCATCGCCTGTTTTGCCGATTTATTGCAGAGGGAATTAGATAAAACGTCCACTAAGTTGGCCTCTGACCTGAAACAAGATTTCTAGGAGCTGGGAAATCGCCTTGAGAATTTTGAATGTAAAGTTGATGATACAATTCACAGAGTGACTCAAAACTCTAGCATGATTGCCAACTTACAAGATCACTTAGATGAAGCTTACAGTAAAATAGATGATCTTGAGAATCATGCTAGGCGGTACAACTTCTGTATTAGAGGGCTCCCTGAAGGGGTAAAAGATATTGCCTCCATTGCCCGCTCCCTTATAATGCTGCGGTTCTGGCTATAGATAAAATCCATCTGGAAATAGATCATATCCACAGGGCTTTAGTCCCTTTAAACCCCTCCTCAGGATGTAATAGTAAAGCCGCACTTCTTCAGGGTTAAGGAGGCGGTGATGCGATACGCTAGAGAACATCCAGATTTGGAGGCTGACGGATACTGGATTCAAGTCTTTGCAGACATCTCTCAAGCTACCATACAAAAAAGGAGGGCCTTCAAACCATTACTCTCACCCTTAATCCAGAGGGATATCCGCTATCAATGAAACAATCTGTTTCGCCTTCAATTTAATTATAACTGCAAATCCTATTCCTTTTCCACATTTCTCAAAGGGGAAAGAATTTTGCTGAGCTTGGGCTTTATTTCCCTTAGCCCCTCCTCCCAGAACCAGCTCTTAGCTAATGGACCATCTCCCCTGCTCTCACCTATTTGGTCCTCTGCCCCCAGGAAGAATTCTTCTACAACCCCACATCTTGAGGACTCTGTTTCCTGCTAGCTGAGAATTCCGTTAATGGAGGCCTCTCAGTGGCCCCAACAGTGGCTCCGCAAACATACCTGTATATGTTTTTGAAATGTTTTTTTTTTTTATAAAATGCCTTGTACCTTAGCAGTGATGTCCTCTACTTCTTTAGTGGTTTAGATTGTTATTATTTTATATAATAATTTTGTTGCCTTAGGAGTCTCATATATGTTTCACGTGGACTCCGGGGTGCTGGTAAGAGTCTCTGCACTCTCCCTGCTTGAAAGACTCTCCCCATTTTTTGACATTGTGGAGACTCTTCCATTCCTTGATCTAGTGTCAAGGATATCTGTTATTTTATTATCTTACATTGCATATTACTGTTTAGTTTGTAGTTGGATGCGGGCCATTCTTTGGCCTTGGCGTCTCTTGTTTCTCTCTTTCTGCCTCCTTTACTTTTCAAACCTTTTTTACTCTTCCTATTTGAGGGTCAATCTGAGAATCCCAAACAGCTCTTGGAATGCTCGATATCCCATGTGAGTGGGTGAGTTTATCTGATTATAACCATACCATTTGCTTTACATGTCTACCTTAAGACAACATACTGCTACAATTGCTTTCCCATAATGTTTAAGGATTAGTCTCCCCTTCTAAGTGACTCAAAACATTTTCCTGGGAGCTGATATTGTTGCTTTACAGGAAACATGTTTTGCCCCTTCTTTTACTCCCAGATATTTTCACAGAGATTTTCCGCTTTGTATTTTGCTAGACGGCTATCATTTACCCAAAACTAAAGTAATAAGGGACAAGAAAGGGCGATACCGTTTAACCAAGGGCAAATTGGAGGGTAATCTAGTGTCTTTTCTTATTTACTATGCCCCTAATATGAATCAGGTGGCCTTCTTCCGATCCCTAGTTAAAGCTCTATTTAGGGAACTGGAAGGAGATATTATTTTGGCGTGGGATTCAATTCTACCATTAGACCATACGTTCGATAAATCTCATGTAATTAAACTTAAATCCCCTCCCAAGCAAAGCCACGACTTTGCACAACTTTTGCATTGCTATGATTTAATTGACGCATGGAGGGAAGCCAATCCCACCTCTAGAGATTACTCCCATTTCTCTAGAGCTCATAACCATTATTCTCATATCATATAGACCATATTTTTCTCCCCTCGGAAATGTTATCTACACTCAGCCAAAATTATAACAACAACTTGGTCGTGATACTGACACCTTCTAAATTGACAGTCAAAATGGCCAAGCCACACTGGTGACTAAACGAGTTCCTACTTAGCAACAAGTCCTACTGTCATTTGAAGTCTTACTTTGCAATTAATAAAGCAGAGGATACGAATCCCGCTATTAATTGGGCAGCTCATAAAGCTTCTGTTAGAGGTCTCTTTATCCAACTGTCCTCCAGAATTAAAAAATCTCACGAAGAGTTGATCTCCGCCAAATCTAGAGAATATGAATCATTAGTCGCCTGACATAAAAATGCCCCAAACTCCGAACCTATTACCTAAGGTAGAGCAAGCCTGGTTAGAACTTAACCTCTGTCTCACTACAAAAGCAGAAAAGCAATTGCGCTGGATGAATCATACATTTTTCACGTGGCGGGACAGACCAGGTTCCCTTTTAGCGCATAACTTACCCCCAAATATATCCACTCATCGCTTCCCAAACTCCGGCTAGCGGGGGGTCATATCACACAAGATCCTCAGAAGAACCTTTCGGGAATTTCATGATTTTTATGTTTCCCTATATTTTCTACCCCAACCAATCAAACCTTCCTCAATTCGATCCTTTCTGGCGACTCTGCCTTTTCCCTCCCTCACTGAAGCCCATAGTGAGCTTATGGAACAACTTATTACTGCTGAGGAGCTAAATAAAGTAATTAAATTGCTATTGTCACATAACTCCCTGGGCCCTGACAGTCTCTCAAATAACTACTACAAAACTTTTTCTGAACATCTTCTTCCCCATATGACTCTTTATTTTAATTCTTTAACCGCCTCCCGCCTGCCATATAAGGAAATGACAGACGGACGGTGGTTCTCTTGTTCTGGGAGGACATCATATGACATCCTCACACTCTGACCACACGTGCATGCCCCCAGGAGTGTCCTTGGGACACAGTGGATTACCGATCAGTGGAAAGATCTGATGACGTCAGCTCTATCATGTGATCAGCTGTGTCCAATCACAGCTGATCGCATGTAAATAAGGTAATTCCGGTTATCGGCATTCCTCTCCTCACGAACTGTCATGCTGACAGCTTGTGAGGAGAGGAGAGGCGGTAATCAGCATTTCTCAGAGGAGACATGTACACTGATCATCAGGGCACTGATCATTAGTGCCCTGATGATCACTGTAGCCCCATCAGTGCCACCTGTCAGTGTTTACCAGTGCACA